TCCGTTGAAATCTCACTTGCCAAAAAAACGCTAACCAGAAAAAATAATTCGAACCATTTTAACTCTGCCCTGGGAGTTGGAAGAAGAATTATGACGTCGCGTGATGAAAGCCGAGTTCCCTCGGAAGTCACGGGGCTGATGCCTCTTCTGACAACCAGAGCAACCATTTTTTTAGGTACATGGAACTTTCGTACATTGTGGGATACTGGAAGACTATTTCAAGTTGCGGCAGAAATGAAAAGATACAACCTCGAGGTGCTGGGAATCAGTGAAACGCATTGGACACAGGCAGGACAACTGAGACTAGCTTCAGGGGAACTGCTGTTATACTCTGGTCATGAAGGTGAAAACGCTTCACATACACAAGGAGTTGCACTGATGCTGTCCAAACATGCACAAAAGGCACTGATAGGATGGGAATCTCATGGGCCGAGGATCATTAAAGCATCCTTCAAAACAAAGAAAGAGGATATTACAATGAACGTCATCCAATGTTATGCACCTACCAATGACTACAATGACGACGTTAAAGATCAATTCTACGAAAGGCTGCAGTCAATCGTCGATAAATGTTCACCAAAGGATTTGACGATTCTTATGGGACACAATATTCCCGCACAAACGCATTCACAAAGCCACATGGATTTCACCGGACCACACTACTCAAAACCAGATTGATCATATCTGTATCAACAAAAAGTTCAGAAGGACCATGGAGGATGTGAGAACCAAGAGAGGAGCTGATATAGCTTCAGATCACCACTTGCTGATCGCCAAAATGAGAGTGAAGCTAAAGAAGCACTGGACAACGGGACAGACAACATCACAGAAGTTTAATACAGCCTTTCTTCGGGATACCGTAACACTCAACGAATTCAAGATAGTCCTCACCAATAGGTTCCAGGCCTTTCAGGATCTACTCAATGGAGAGGAAGCAACATTGGAGAACAATTGGAAAGGGATTAAGGAGGCAATCACTTCAACATGTCAGGAGGTCCTTGGTTGCAAGAAGCACCATCACAAGGAATGGATCTCTGTTGGTACTCTTGAAAAAATCCAAGAAAGGAGGAACAAGAAGGCAGCAGTGAATGTCAGCCGAACAAGAGCAGAGAAAGTTAAGGCGCAAGCCGAGTATACAGAAGCAAACAGGGAAGTGAAGAAGAGCATCAGAGCTGACAAACGAAAATATGTGGAAGATCTAGCGATGGCGGCGGAAAAGGCTGCAAGAGAAGGAAATATGGGACAATTGTACGAAACAAGAAAGAAGCTCGCTGGAAACTATCGTAAACCAGAACGACCAGTGAAAAGCAAGGAGGGGAAAATAATCAGCAACACTGAAGAGCAGCGAAATAGGTGGGTAGAGCACTTTAAGGAACTATTGAATCGACCAGCTCTACTGAACCTACCCAACATCGAAGCAGCATCCATGGACCTCCCAATTATTATTGGCGCACCTACGATTGAGGAGATCAGTATGGCCATCAGACAAATCAATAACGGCAAAGCAGCAGGACCAGACAACATTCCAGCAGAGGCAATGAAAGCAGATGTAGAAGCGACTGCGAAAATATTTCACATCCTCTTCAAGAAGATTTGGGATGAGGAACAAGTACTATCAGATTGGAAAGAAGCATACCTGATCAAAATACCAAAGAAAGGCGACCTGAGCAAGTGTGAGAACTACAGAGGCATCACTCTTCTTTCAATACCAGGCAAAGTCTTCAACAGAGTATTGTTAAACAGAATGAAGGACTTCGTAGACGCCCAACTTCGAGATCAACAGGTCGGATTTCGTAAGGATCGATCATGTACTGACCAAATCGCTACATTACGGATCATTGTGGAACAATCAATAGAATGGAACTCACCACTCTACATCAAATTCATCGACTACGAGAAAGCATTCGACAGCGTGGATAGGAAAACACTGTGGAGGCTTCTTCGACACTACGGTGTGCCTGAGAAAATAGTCAACATCATACGGAATTCTTATGATGGATTAAACTGCAAAATCGTGCACGGAGGTCAGCTGACAGACTCTTTTGAGGTGAAGACCGGTGTCTGGGAAGGTTGCTTACTCTCACCCTTTCTCTTTCTCCTGGTGATCGACTGGATTATGAAGACGTCAACATCTGGAGGGAAGCACGGTATCAACTGGACAGTTAGGACGCAGCTGGACGATCTGGACTTCGCACATGACCTGGCTCTTCTATCGCACACTCAACAACAAATGCAAGGCAAGACGACCAGTGTAGCAGCAGCCTCTGCAGCAGTAGGTCTCAACATACATAAAGGAAAAAGCAAAATTCTCCGATGCAACACAACATGCACCAACCGAATCACGCTTGATGGAGATACCTTGGAGGACGTTAACACCTTTACATATCTGGGCAGCATTATCGACGAGAAAGGTGGATCTGATGCAGATGTGAGGGCGCGGATTGGCAAAGCAAGGGCTGCATTTCTACAGTTGAAAAATATCTGGAACTCCAAACAACTTTCAACTAAAACCAAAATCAGGATTTTCAATACAAATGTCAAGACAGTTCTACTGTATGGAGCGGAAACATGGAGAGCTACCAAAGCCATCATTCAGAAGATACAAGTGTTTATTAACAGTTGTCTACGCAAAATACTTCGTATTCGTTGGCCAGACACCATCAGCAACAACGTACTGTGGGAGAGAACAAGTCAGATTCCAGTGTAGGAGGAAATCAGGAAGGAGCGGTGGAAGTGAATAGGACATACACTACGAAAAGCACCTAACTGCGTAACTAGACAAGCCCTCACATGGAACCCTCAAGGCAAAAGGAAAAGAGGAAGGCCAAGGAACACACTACGCCGAGAAATAGAGAAAGATATGAGAGGAATGAACAAACATTGGACAGAACTGGAGAGGGAAGCCCAGGACAGAGTTGGTTGGAGAAAACTGGTTAGCGGCCTATGCTCCATTGGGGGTAACAGGCGTAAGTAAGTAAGTAAGTACATTCTATACCAAAAGAATGAATTATTAGCTAGACTATCATTAGACACTTGGCCAATTCGTCCTGGTATATAGGACTACGCATCAGTGGCGATACGCAGACATGACTCCTGCTACTCTCAGGATCCGAAACCAAGGTCGCCGGTCTTGTGCGCGCGCAGACGCTTCACGTCTTATCCGGCATTCAACATTATTAACGTCTAACTAGAATATATCTAAGGATATTGCGCAACCTCATCGGTTGTCTCAGTTAGTTACTGCTTACATTGGACATGTCTTCTTACTAGAACTCTGAGGAATTTTAGTCAAGAAGCTAGTCACGATCAGTGAGTACATTTCATGATTTTGCATGATATACAGATCGTTGTTTGACATTTAAATCACGAATGAATATGATTGTTAGACCACCATTAGAAAGTTGGAAGTACAGAGAGAAAGTATTTATTCACGCTAGCTGTCGGTTTCGGTGCACACAACACAAAACTGTGAAAGAGAGACTTAATGTCCTAAGTATAGACAAGTGGTCAATAGCTTTCAGTGCATTATGTTCAATCTCATTTGATTGTAATTATCTGGAAATAAATCTTCGGACTTTATTTTTTTTATATGTCTGGTATAATCCAATAACAAGGAGTATTCATTCAGAATCTAAAGACAATTGATCAAAGTAACCGATTTGGAAGAAAATTCCAAAACTTTGGACCTATTGACATATTTTCCTTTAATTTAATGAAATCTAAACAGACACCAAATTACTTCACATGAAGAGAAATAGTTTGTTTTCTTCAAAATTGACTTGAGTTTGCATTCATTTCTTATCGAATCAAAATCAAACACACCTCATTCATATGACATAGAGATCAATATTATTCCAGATATCATCTCCAACATGATGTCATTAAAAATCTTATATTAGTAATCCGTTAGTCAGACAATCAGTCAGTCAGTTATGCCATGGTACTTAGTTCATTCGTACATACATCAGTTCAACTGTATACAAATTACCACTCTTTGGGGCAAGGGTAATATTACATAGGCTTTCAGGAGAACCAAGGAGACTGCTCACGTGTTAACACTACAACATGAACTGTTCGACTCAGTCCCGTGGTGCAACAACCATACATGTACCTGACACCTTGGTGGACCATTGATATTATTTATATACACTAGTACATATAAAGTGAGTATTTTCGGGCCATGACCACGTCAATCAATATGAACCTCATGAACAGGCCAATTCGACTCATCGCGCTTACATGATTATCAAACTCATTATTATTAGCAATGGTGATATATATATCGCATTCGAACGACCATGGTCCTCGTCAATGTCGCAAAACAACTACCGGTAGTATCACGCTGCTAACGAAATTCGTATACGAACTATTAGCAAAACCTGTCAAAGAAATGCCTAGCCATCCACAATGTTGATCACAGAGAACATTTGGTGTCATAGGAAACATTCAGCTCTATTTCGCAATATAGTTTATTGTATAAGCATTGTATGGCATAGGATAGCAAGAGATGCAGCCCACCTTCATGAACATGGGCTCAAACACTCTTATCCACAGAGACGATCGTGAGGTTCTATGGCAGTGTCTGTCATTGAAAGGTATAATAAAGAAGTACATTAACCTTATACAAGCTCTCTACTCGAACACCACTGATCGAGTGAGAGCTTATGGCGAACTGTTACCAGAATTCTTTACTTCAAGTGGTATCCTGAATTATACTTCTCGAATCATTTCTTCTCTCCCTAATCTTCTTCATTACTGCTAATACTTCTACTATCACTATCACTCTTGGATTTGAACTGACAGTTGCGTCTCTGTGCTGATGTGGTATGGCAATCTGAACTGATGTACTTACGTACATTGTATCTGTCTGTCTAGTCTACACTTACGAACATCATTTAGTCCAGCTGGTCACTGTGTTGACTTCATACCTTCGCATCCATCCAACCTCTGTCAATCGACATCAATAATTACGAATGAAAACTTCACACATTATTTATATACACCATTTTATTAGCACAGAGCATTTTGCAAAATTTAAACACAAAACACATCATTTTCCCTGAACAATCAAACAAACATCCTAATGCAATTGACAGAAGAGAAAAAAACAGACCTAACAGCTGGAAAACAGCTGACATTCATTTTTTGACTGATAACACAGAAATGAATGAATAGTTCAGCAATCTTCATCTTTCATTGTTCATAGAAAGAGTATGGGCACGAGATAAGAACAAAGCAACAGTAGTAGTAGTAGTAGTGGTAGTAGTAGTAAGTAGTAGTAGTAGTAGTAGTAGTTGTAAGTAGTAGTAATATTAGTAGTAGTAGTAGTATTAGTAGTAGTCACAGTAAAAATAACAAGAAAAAGAAAGAGGTGAAGAAACATACTACTTATATTATAGTACTACTACTACTACTACTACTTCATATTCACTGTAATGAGTCCATTTACAAAATGCACTGTAATAAAGTGTGCCGTGGGGGTGTTGGGCGAAGGGCGGGAAAAACAAGAACAAGAAGAACAAAAAAGAGGCTGTGATACATTTTGTTACACTTTCAATTCTTGCCATTCCACTTCATCATCAGTTCCAATGGAACTGGTCGAATCACTATCATCACTAGAAGACGCTGATGATGGTGGTGACGCAGGTGCGGCTGGCTGTAATGAAGCTGGTGAAGGAGGAGCCGGTGGGAGTGGTGGTAGTTCTGGTTTTTGTGGTGGTTGTGGTGGTGATGATGTTGATGTTGGTGGTGGTGGTGGTGCCGGTGATGGACAGCGTGATGAAGCAGCGGAGGATGAAGAGGACGAGGAAGATGATGACGAGGAGGAGGACGATGATGATGATGACGATGAGGAGGAGGACGATGATGATGAGGAGGAGGATGACGATGAGGATGCTGAACGCAAACGACGTCTTTTCGACAGTTTCGACTTCTTTTTATTCTTTCGTTTTTTACTAGATTTTTTATGTTTTTTAAGTTTTTTCAATTTGGCTTTACGTTTTTTTGCATGTTTACGTTTGGATTTCGTGTCGGCCAATTTATGCTTTGATTTCTTTTTTGGTTTTTTACCATCAGCAACTTCCTGTGGTTCTTTCGATTGATCATGTTGATAGGGCAGTTTAGGTGTTATAGTTAACGAACTAGATTTCGAAGTAACATTTTCAATACTATCCGATTGTTTAAATGGGATTGGACCTTCTTTTTGTAATTCATCCCAACCATCATGACCCCAACGACCGGTGTCACAATGTCGACGTGCTAATGTTCGCCAAAATTCTTTAGCATTCGGTCCACCTGCAGCACTGGGCAATGATGATTGAGTGGAACGTAATTCCAGATTACGTTTTGCTTCAATACGTAATTCACGTTCATAAGCATCTAATGCTTGTTCAGAATGAATACTGTTGGATCCTTCTGGGGATCGATCACGGGAGGAATTATTAGAAGCTTTATGACGACGTTTTATTTCACGCCAACATTGTTCTTCTTCTAAAACCTACACATACACAGAGATAGGAGAATAAACAGTAAAATGCAAACTAGTCGAGGAATCAAAAAATTCACAGTGAGCTTTTAAAGAATCATTTTTTGTCTTCTCATGTTCGACGGTTAACTGCCAAACATCTGACAGTGATGAACTATATTGGTCACGGCTTCTAACTAGAATTTTAAGAATCTCCTCACCATGCTATTCACAAGTGAACACATTTTATCGATTGATCAAAGATAGACATCAGTAATATCGTTGGACGACGGCTCGATGTCAGTCAGTTACAACGTTGAACTTCGTACGTACATAAGTAAGTACATCAGTTCAAGTTACGATACCATATTAGCACACAAAGATGCAATTGTCAATTCCATAGTGGTATATGTAGTAGGAGTAGATTAGGGTTCAAAGATATTATTCAAGAAGTATAACCCGGTGAATAAATTTGAAAAAATATAAAGGAGATGAGGAATTCAGAAGATTAGAATTTGAGAGAACACAAAGAATGGATGCACCTGCTCCATTGCAAACTGTTTTGAGCCATGTCATCCAGGGTCTCTAAACATCGATTGCGAACATTTCGCGCGCCCCAACCACGTAGTCGACACCTACTAGCATGGCTCAGTCCACTTGTCAATAACTTTATGGATTTGTGCTGTGATTCGGTTTGGCCACCACTAAGCTTTATTGCAACCTACTCCGACACCTTAAAACACATCGCTTGTCGGAGCAGTTGGTAATTAAGCATACGTAATACATGTCCCAACCACCTCAACTGATGAAGTTTTAAAACTTCATCTATTAATTTGCCATGCTTACCAAGTAACTGTTTCCTAAGAACAGCGTTGCTTAATCAATAGTTCCAGGATATACGAACAACGCTTCGAAGACACCTACGATCGAATACTAACAATCTGAGAATATCCTCTACTCTTACCGGACCTGTATCACATTGTGTGTTAGGAAATCATCCTTGTCTTTTCAGGTTCAAACTTACCACTCCATAAATATTGCACGATCTCATCCATTGTCTTCGATGGTTAATTGTCTAACACCCTACAGGGCTGAACTACACTGGTCATGAATGGCTTCTCACTAGAATTCTAAGAATCTCCTCATGAAGCTATTCAATAGTGAACACAATTTATGGATTGACCAAAGATCGACATAACACCGTTGCATGTCAGCTCAATGGTCTAGAGGTTAGGCGTTCACGAGCGAGACCGTACTTAAATTCAATTCTCGAATGCTGGGTTGTGGATAAACACTCATGATAAGTACCTTATACTAGGATGAAACGGTCATCCAGTGCATCCAGGTTTCTAATGTTGACCTAACATTAATCGATTCACGATTTCAATTCAATGAATTAAATCACTTAACACATCACGCAAATGATTGCGTAACTAGGACTGCATAACTCTTATTACTAAACTATCTAATCATATAAAATAATAAGATTGAATTGTGTTTCGTTTACAAAACATTTGAACAAGCAAACAGTATCAATACCACTATGATGGCTACTACTTGCAATGTGGCTTATGAGTAGTACGCAACAGATTGTCAACCAAAAGTTACGGTCGGCAAGAATCGTGTCAGATGAAAGTGTCTTCAAGACTAGAAAGTATGTTAAAGAACACAGTCAATAAGCTGCTTGTTTTACAAATACAAATCGAAAGATCAGGTGTAGACATTTTGTTAGCAAACAACTGTGTCTTCTTCATGTCTTCGTTCATTACAACCACCACTCAAAAAATGAGTATATACATAGATAACTTGGTCGGTTTATGCAAATACGGCATATCCATAGTTTGTAGTTGAAATTCCAAACTACATACCTACATAAATAGTTAACGATTCTTGAGTCAATCGATAAATTTGCACAAATGATCGTTGAAGTAAGTACTTCAAACTAATTGGTGAATTTTTTTGATTGAAAATATGAAGCAGACAATATAAGATTACCATTGAAAGCCTTAAAAAAAGCACTCAATGAGCGTTTTGCTTGGTATGAATGATACTTACTAGTCAGTAGTGTGCATTTACGAACCAACATACAGAGGAATTGTGAAAACTGTAGCGCGACTGTAGCCAAAACCTAGATGTGGTGGTCAGCCTTGCTTATCGTGATGACCCAACCGAGCTATATTGGCCGGAACATATGTTTCTGTAAGGTCTACCAGGTCGACAGGTCGATTGGAGAACGGTGAGACTAAAAGCAGCAACTTCGGGTCCGAAGGTGAAGCCGTACTGCTGACTCTGGAGAAGAGGTTTGACAGCAGTGGAGTGTTTCTATCGGACAACAGGTATACGTAGCGATGCTGCCTTCTTACAAGGAGCGAAGGGATAAAAAAGAAGGTTGACTTTGAAACTCTCACACCTCACCTTACTTCACGGATTTCCGTCTCTGGTTTTAAGGATACTTGAAGAGCGAAGCTGACACTTTGAAGGTGTTCATAAAATAGCCGTGCGCGACCAACCTGAAGCAGTTGCAGTCACGCTCCCACGCTCTTTAAGACCAACACTAATCTGAATTCGTTTCGAGGTTCCTCAAGAACCCACCCTACCACGGTGTGGACAGCCACCCCGCCCCGCAATAACTGGATGATGAACTAACATGGATTGTTAGTTCAATAATTTATTAAAAACTCGATTAAAAATCTAGTCATTTCTATAATATTAAAATGGTATAATTTGGTAAAAGGATTCACAAGAAAAATACTTACCCGATTATGTGTAGTAGCATGTTTAACATAATTATCAACCAACTTTTTATCCTGAAATTTAAAAATCAAAAAATAAGTAAGCGAATTGTTTTTTTGCTCAAATAACAAACATCTAGAATGTAACTTAAATGTATTTATTGCTTTCAATGTACAATGTCATTTTGAACAAAGTGAATAGTTAACGAAATGTTAGCAAGTTAAGATTCTTGAGAAATGTTGTCGTACCTAATTGTTCATTTACGAGATGAATGCTAAAATATCAGAGACTGACATGACATTTATTGAGATTATTCGGAATGTTGAATAACACTACAACATTGAATATGTATGTTTATAACAAATCGGTTTAGATTATTTGAAATGAATTATTTTAGTGAAAACTGCACACCTGGGATTTTGCAAAACAGAATGCCAAGTTCAAAAGAGAATGGTTTATGTACAGTTCCTATAAACAAATCAGTCAGTTAGTCAGTCAGCTACAACATAGTACTCGGTACGTAGGTGTACATCAGATCTAGTTACTATGTCAAAGACACAACTGTCAATTCAAATCCCACAGTGGTAGGTATAGCAGAAGTATTAGCGGTAATGGAGAAGATTGGGGTTCGAGGATATGATTCAAGAAGTATAATTCAGTGAGGGCAACTTAAGAATAAAAAAAATAAAGTTGACACGGAATTCAAAATGAATAGAATTTCAGAGAACATAAACGGAAGATAGTAATACAGAGTTAATCCTATTAGGCACAAAAAAGTAGGTAATTTTTAGCATACAAATCGCTATCACTCTTGGATTTGTACTGACAGTTGCGTCTTTGTGCAGATGTGGTATGACAACCTGAACTGATGTACTTACATACGAAGTTCTGCGTTGTATCTGTCTGTCTGTATAGAATTGTGCAGATTGGTGAGTTTCATTGAAATCATGTTAAAGCACCAGTAGAAATTTGGAAGCACTCAAAAAGCAGAATCCCACAATGAAAATTATCATGTGCTCACCAGTGACTATTTTCGTAAGGAGACTCTTGAAGTTTTAGTGGGAAGCGGTAACCGGTGGAGTGCAACTAGTTCAGATTGTGTGGCAATTACCTAACGAAGACATTTCGTGAGGTTGCGAAATACCGTGGACTGGTCAAAGTTAAACACCACTGGATGCTAGCTCAGTGGTCTGCAGACTAAGCGTTCGCGTGCAAGACCGAATGTCCAGGGGGTTCAATTCCCGTGTACAGAGGGTCGAGGGTGTGCATTGCCACCGATGAGTCCCATTCTACGTAGAAACGGCTAACCAACACTACAGATACATCGCATACTACAATAAGACAGTTAGTCCTTCCCCAATGTTCCGTTGACTTTCAATGGTACTCTGACATAAATCAATTAATACGAGATAAATAAAGATAATAAAACAAAATTTTCATTCAAAGTCATATTTCATAATCTGACAATGATTAAACCAAAATACGTACTAGCCTCAAAATGCTGAACAACAAGATCCTTACAGAAAACAAACGATGTATAAATCTATTGTTGATCACTCGCTACCTTAAGATCGTATCATCAATCTTATGAATTACGCGTCTACGAGTCAGCGACACAGAGAATAGCCATCTAGTCAGTCAGTCAGATGGAACGTAGAACTTCGTACGTAAGTACATCAGTTCATGTCGCCATACCACATCAGCACACAGATGTAATTGTCAATTCAAATCCAATAGTAGAAGAGATAGTAAGGGTATTAGAAGTAATCGGAGAGGTTAGGATGAGAAGATATTATTCAAGAAGTATAATTCAGTGAGATAAGTTTAGAAAGTCAAAACTAGAGGGGTTGAGGAATCTAGAGAACACAAAGAATAAATGCACCGGCGCCATGTCATTCAGGGTCTCTAACCATCGATTATTATCATCTCGCGGACCCCAACCAGGTTGTCGACAATTACCGACATGGATCAGTCCACTCGTCAATGATTTCATGGATTTCTGCCATGTTTTGATCAGACCGCCCCTAACTTTCTTCCAACCTACTCCTACACTGCAAAACAAAGCTCGTCGAGGCAGTCGGTGATTAGGCATACGCAGCACATGTCCCAACCACCTCAACTGATGAAGTTTCATTACTTCATCTATTGATTTGCCCTTCTTACCTAACACCCGATTCCTAATAGTAGCGTCGCTCACTCGTGTGTCCCACGATATACGAGCAATGCTTCGGAGACACCGAAAACACCTGCTTCAGTTCGGGTACCCGAGTACCAGTACCATAAGCGTTTCTTTGAAACCAAATCAATAACTACCAAAAACAAATGAGGTGAGCTCGCGCAAAATCCCTCAATGGTCCAGGGGTTATAGGCATTGGGGCACAAGACCGAATCCTACGAAGTGCAAGAGTCATTGATGCACACTGCCACTAACTGATAAGCAATCCCATACCAGGACAAAACGGCTATCGTCCAGTACTTGCTGCAAGTTTCTCTAATAGATTTCTCTAACAATGATTGATTAATTAACTTTTAATTAAAAAAAATAAACTATTTCATATTCATCATGACACGTTATATATATATATATTTAATTTTATGATTGAGTGCATAACCTCGCTTCTTCTCTCTACCTCTCTCTCAGTACATACAAACATGAAAAATAAACAAACAGAGACATTCTTCTTATAAATTACTACGATTACTACTAAATATCTTTAATTATTATTATTAATATTATTATTACTATTATATCAATTAAAATCATAAAATCACGTTTCGTTTTCTTCTTATACAGTGAAAATGTGAATCTGTAGAGTTAGTTTCAGAGAGAGAGAGAGAGAGTAGAGCTGTACACAGCTGTACTGTAGTACACATACAACACACTTTGACTCTTAATTACACTTTCTTTTCATTTATAATTCAAAAAAAAATAGCACAAAATAATAGTAATTAAAGCACAAAAGCACATATATATCAACTTAATGATAACAATAATAATAATAATAACTATGCATGTGTGTAAAATTTTTAAGGTCAAATATACTAACTACTTCACTTAGAAGATTTGAGTGAAATGGAAGAGTGATATTGTAAAGAGTGATGTGTACATTTCTAATATCAGAGAATATTATTATGCTTTCTTGTTATAGTTTTTGCAATAACTAAAGTAAGTTCATGAGTTGTTAAAATGGATACGTTGTACAACAATTATTCTATCTATCTAATAACTATCTAACTATTTATATTATGAATAGAATTTATACTTATAAATTGTGATAAATATTATTGTTTAATGAGTTAATTTGTTAGATTATTAGTATTAAAGAAACTTGAAAGTATTTGGGGACAGATTTGGTACAGAACTAGGCTCATCAATGGCGATATGTATCCACAACACCTACACTACTTGTAAGGATTGGAACACAAGATCATCGGTTACTGAGCACATGAACACTGAACACCGACATCCAGTCAGTTAGTTAAAACGTAGAACTTTGTACGTACGAACATCAGCTCATGTTGCCCAAAATCGTTCGCAATGGCGCCGGTGCATTTATTCTTTGTGTTCTCTCAAATGCTAATCTTCTGGATTCTTCAACCCCTCTAGTTTCGACTCTCTAAACTTTTCTCACTGAATCATACTTCTTGAATACCTTCTCATCCTAACCTCTCCGATTACTTTTAATACCTTTACTACCTCTTCTACTATTGGATTTGAATTGACGATTACCTCTCTGTGCTGATGTGGTATGGCAACATGAACTGATGTACTTATGTACAAAGTTCTACGTTGCATCTGACTGACTGACATGTTGCCCTACCACATTAGCACATAGATAGATGCAATTGTCAATCTAAATCCCATAATAGTAGAGTTAGTAAACGTATTAGCAGTAAGAGTTGGCATACAACAGTGTTAATGTCTAACTTTGATCAATCTAAGGATTTTCGCAAAACTTCATCCGTTTGTCTTATGGTAGTTATTGCCAACAATCGATAGGGTTGAACTTCACTGAGGTCACTTCTTCTCACTAGAACTTTGAGCATTTTATCACAAAGCTAACCATTACTAGTGAGAATATTTTTATGATATATTTTTCCATTACGGAATTATCGAAATCATTATTGACTGACAGTGTTAAATATGTTTCACTTCATTCTACAATTGAACTCTTCAGACTTGAACGGTTGCGAAATATTGAAGAGTTTCAAATTAAGACAAAACAGTTGTCCAGTATTTTTCATGCTTTTAACGGTCATCTAATTTTGGTTCTATAAGTAATAATCTAATAAACTACATAATCTACTGTTTGACATTTCCAAAGAAGGGAGGTCCTGGGTTCGAATCCCAGGGGTCATGGATGCGTATCGCCATTGATGAGTAGTTCCATACAAGGACGAAAAATCCGTTTAATGCTTCCAGGTTTCTAATGGTGGTCTAAGATTAAAATCGATTCACGATTTCAAAAAATAAAACTGAAGGCGAATAAAATTGTTTACATAATCAATATTCACAAGAAAGCACACAGTAAATGCTTGCTGTTACTTGGAATAAATTTGAAACATACACGTAAATTCGCGAAATCACGATTCAGGTTATCGCTCAGAATCTAATTGAGAAACTATAATTTACAGACAGACTGAAATACAGTAATGAACTTCAAAGCCACTGTACAATGATGAATCAGTCTAACGAGGGTGTATGTGTTTTATTTGGGAAAAAGGACTTGAGTAGTACTTGAATAAATAACAATCTGACAGATGAATCTGTACAGAGTTAAGCATCGTTAAATCGATATTTCAAATTAAAAATTTGGAGCCATCATTTAAATATGTCAAAAAGATACTATTATTATCAGATTTGAATTGAGCAAACATGATTTAAGTTGATACGATGAAACTTAACAACCTTTACAATCCTATATTGACAATAATCATATGTTCCTTAGTGACTAGCCACGTAGCGGAATTCTCTGAGTTATAATGAGAATCCACAACCAGTGCAGTTCAATTGTATCAGGTATGAGACAGTAACGCACCAAAGATAATCGATAATCATCATCACACAACACTA